GAGCTCACGCGGTGGAAGTCAGCGTGTTCGCCGCTGATTTCTCCACCAGCCCACGACCACGCCGCCGTTCCAACACGATGGATATGAGCGTGGCCAAAGGCAACCACAAGCGCCAACACACAGGGGCCCATAGTGTCCGCCGTGAGCATCCGCAGAGTACGTGCGTCCTCAGCGTTCACGCCGCTACACAGAGTGTGCCAAATGGTGTGCGTGTGCGCATGTGCTTGTGTGTTCGTCAGCGCCTATACTTGCAGAGCAGCTGTGCGCCACAAGAGAGTCTGAAGAAAGCAACGGCAGAGAGAGGCAGATAGCACACACGCAAATTACTCATATCATCACACACACACACACACGCAGCCGCGGAATGGGTGCACTCAACCACAAAATCAAAAAGGAAAACAAAACAAAAAGCCGAAGCGTGGGACGACCAGCGCACACACACTCTCATTACTCCCGTAAAGCAAAACACACACAGAGGGAGAGAGAGAGAGGTCGCCCACTCAATGCAATGGAAACAAAACAGAAACAGTTACGGTGCTCCGCCCATGCAGCCAGGCAGGACGGCAGCGGTGCATGTCGTGCAAAAGAGAGCACCAACGGGCCTGCATGGGTGTGCATGCATATATACAATGGGCACATTATTGTGTGCCTCGTGGGGTGAGGTGAGGGCGAGAGTCCATGCAAGGGGACACACACACAGAAAGAGAAGGACGAGTGTGTGTGCGGGCGGTGCACTGCTCTCTCACACTCACTCTCACGCGGCCACCACAGCAGCAGCAGCCGCAACAAGAAGAAGCAAAAGAGGGGAGGTGTGAGAGACCGCGGTGCTGCTGTCACTGTTGCCAGACGCCACCGTGACACTTTTTATATCCGCGACTTGGACCGGTGTTTTCTTCGTATTATTATATTTATTTTCATCCCGCCTTTCTTCTGTCCCTGACACATCGGAATCCGGTGTATTGTTCGGAATATCTTCTCCAGTGCTTCTGTCTGCTTCGTTATTTGCATTATCGCTGGCAACGAGGGTTGTTGTTGTGGTTGATTCGGCTCTACCGCCAGATGTTTCAATCTGATCTGTGTCTGTGGTGGTGGCGATGTCCTCTTCTGCCAAATCTTTGTTTGGCTTCGCGCTCACTGAGTCTTCCTCTGGCTGCGGCACCGGCGCCTTATCTGCATTGGGGAGTGGTCCTTCCACTGGCGGTGATGGTGTTAAATCTGTTGCCTTCGCTGGCAAATCCCCCGGTGATGCTCCCTCTGGTGACTTTATTTTAGTGGTCTTAGTCGTCTTGGCAAGGCCTTCGGCGCTCTCAACTTTTTCTTCTGCCGGCTGTCTCGTGCGACTTTGTGATACTGTCGTAATGTCCTCACCGTCTCCCTGTAACTCATTGGACGCGGCAATTGCTTTCGGTCCCGGACCAGCCAAACCTTGTCCATCTTCGCCACTTTTCAACTGAACTTCTCCGTCAACTTCTGGTTTCGCAGCCGGCTTAGGCACTAGTGATGCTCCTGACTCTGAAACAATGGCCCGCTGTGGTGCTCCTGGTACAAGAGACGGTGAATAGGTTCCGCTTACAATATCTTCAACCTGAGCCGTCTCAGACTCTGACGCGAACACGGACGGGCGGCAGCACAAGGCGAGCACCAGCAGGGCGCACAGCAGACGGCACGTCATCATCGTGAGTGTGGTCGTTCAGTGGTGTGGAGCTGATCTGCACAGTGAGGGAAATGGAGAGCAACAGGGGAGACGAGAGGTGCAGCAGACACACACAGAGGGCACACCACATGAGGAGAGGGCAGCAGCCAGGCATGCACCGTACGCCGCACACCACGCACGACACACACTCCAATCCACGGCAGCAGGCACACACACACACAGCCCTGCCGCAACACCAACACACAGATGGAAGAGGGAGAAGCAAACAGGAGCGGCACACAAGGCTCCACCGCATGCGCATGCGGCGAGAGCGGTCCGTCGTGTCGGCACCCCTCACGGAGGGTGCGCACACACACAAGAAGGTGCAGCGCACACAGCAACACAACAGCATAGTAACAATACAAAAAGAAGATCCCCGCACACCACGCGGACTGTTGGTCCACGGGAATTGCAGCCAATATTCACCACAAAGCAGCTTGTTATCTTGTTTGGTTGTATGCTGCTACAATAACGAGTGAGTAGCGCAAGAACCGTCCGTACAAAAGTGGCAAGTATTCCGTCGTGCGGGCTGGGGCAGTCACAAACAGTCGCAGTCCCAGTTCCCAACGACGAGGGCATTCCCGCAGTGGATGAGGCGGAGTCTCCCGTGGTCCGTCGGGGATCAGCAGCCCGTGGCGTCCGTGATGAGGCGGTGGCGGAAGAGCCTGGTCCATCTCGAGTGCTCGCGTTTGTGCTTCCTGCGTGTCTTGCCTGCTGGCATGCTTGGCAACTTCGGTGGCGACCTGCGCGCGAGGCGCCTGTTAGGAAGACGGCGGCGCCATTGTGGCATCCGCATGGGAGGCCCTCGCAAACTATTATAACGCCAGGCTGAGCACTTCCGGCATGTGCCCTCATACTGTGGACGGAAAAGTGCACCCTGCCGCAGGTTGGGCAGGGGAACGTCAATCCGCCGCTCGCTGGTCGACAAGGAGTCGCGGTGCTCACGTCGGGAAGAGGTTCCGGCGGAGGCAGAGGCGGGCCGGTCACCGCAGTCAGGGACGGCGCCACCGACACAGAGGGTTCCTTGTGATCCGCAGGGCGCGTGCAGGCCTGTCGAAGAGTGGGCAGGAGTCGCATCGCGCCTGTGCGCAGTGCCGCCACTCGGGGACCGATGTCCGGGTCAACACCAGGAATAGAGTCCTCGCCACACCGACAGGCGCCTGTCACGCGGTGTGCGCGCCCTCCTTTTCCTCCTGGGCATCCTTCCATTATAACCTTTTGACGGCGGTAAGGAATTCCACGTGCCAGGCATTGACGCAGTCCTGCGGGAGGGATCGTGCAATCGTGGCTTGTTTGTCAGCGGCCTCACTGCGTGGAATACCGCAGTGTGATGGGAAAATATAAAATCCACAGGGTGACCTCGCTTCACCAAGGAAAGCAGCATAATCCAAACTTACTCAGTAACGCGGTCTCGCACGGTCGGTGGGCAACGCGGGGTGCCTCCATTGCCGAGAGGGAGTCCGTTTCCTCCAGCATTCGCGTGGGCGATTGGGATGCTCCCAGACAAGGAGGTATGAGATGTATAAAAACATTTTCGATCGCAAGGCAGTCTGCCCTATATGAGCATGCGAGGCTGCCAGCTGCTGCACGATGTACCTCCACAGGGAGATCATTTGTCGTGGTGGAGTCATATAATAGCGCAGCGGATCCGGATGCGAGTGCAGCGAGATATGAAGGACTGTCCATCCACAATTAAAATCACAATCCCCCAAAGAGGAGTGAGTAGAATAGAAAGCCGTGCGCCCGACATCGTCAGAGGCGTCTTCGGCAAACAGTGGCTGATAAAATCTCAAGTTGTTGCAGATCACAGTGTCCCAGGGAAAAATTCGATGTTGGGCAAGAGGCGCGAATGTGGTTGTGGGGTGTCCCAATAATGTCACAGACGCGTAGCAATCCATTAATAACAGCATCTCTCGGAAGCGGATTGATGTCGCCGCTTTCCCATGCATGGACGGAGGCATAGGTTGCGAGTAGATAAGGGAACGCAAATCCTCGTGATCATGGAGGCATACATGGCGTCCGTATTGTGTGAGTGCACGACGCCAAAGTATCTTCCGGAGCGGAAGAATATTGGCTTCCAAATAGACAGATGTGTCTTCCGTAGAGGCGCTCAGGCCAAAAATGTTTTGCTACCGTCGCGGTACCGTACTTCCGTATTATGGAGGTGTGTGGGGGCGAGTCACGGGACAATTGCCTCGCCATTATGAAATAGCACACTATGAACGCATCCAATCAAAAAGGATCGCATGGTGTGATGGGACGCGCCCGCCTCTGCGACCAGACGCAGCTGATAGCGGCGTGGCATGGTCTTCTTTGCAGCGGTGGAAGCATGCGTAACAGAATTGAGAAGTCGATCGAACGTGGTGCCCAGCAAGCGCACTGGGCGTGACTGAATACGCAGGTTCCCGCTAACAAGATGGGGATCGACCATGTCCTCGTCGGACCGTGTGTGTGTGAAGAGATGTGGAATAGAGCAGCTTCGCTCTTAGCGACGTTGATTTTTAGGCTGTGCTCGGCAGCCCATGTGGCCACAAGAGACAAGAGCGGTCGCATTGCCGCAGCACAGGCATGGATGTCCGCACCTGAGGCAACAAGTGTGTGTTCGTCAGCGTACATGAAAGCGGAGGCAGAATAGATGCTGTCCAGGCGGCGCAGCAGACCATCCACACAGCAGAGGAAGAGTTGGGGTCCCGGGACGCCGCCTTGCGGTGCTCCAGCTGAGGCGAGTTGTTTCCGGGAGTGCTGTTCGCGAGTGCATACCCTAACATAGCGGCCCCGCAGGTAGTTGTGCAGCCAGCGTTTGGTTCGAGGCCAAGGCGCGGAAGTCTGTCAAGCATGCAGAATAACTTCCCATGGTCAGTGGTGTCGAACGCAGTCGGAAAATCAATCGAGACCACAAGCGAGCGATGGCGACGAGGGCGTCGTGTGGGGGCGTCGTCTCCAGGGCGCTCATACTCCACAATGCCAAACTCATTCAATCCAAGGGTAATTTGTCGACAACAAGTGCCATCACGTCCGACACAGAACGCGGAGGTGCAAATCCGAAGTTGACGTGGGTGGTGCGGCAATAACGCTGACAGACGGCGGTGAGTCATTCCTTCGGCTAACTTTAGTAAAACAGAGAGCAGCGTGATGGGTCTGTAACTCTCTGGGCGGCATGGATCCTTCCCAGGCTTGGGGATAGGAATATTGTCTCCCATTTTCCAGGAGCCAGGCAGGCTGCCGTTTGCGAAGGGGTTGTGGATCATCGTTCCAAGTGTGCCACGCGCGACGGGGCCGAGACGGTGCAGGAATTCACTCAACATGTCGTCGGGGCCAGGGGCTGAGCCAGGCAAGGAGTCACGGATGGTCACGTCAAGTTCATACGGTGGGAAAGGCCGATCCATTTCCCAGCCACCAGGAACCAAAGGAGTGCAGCGAGCAGCAGCAGCAGCATAAGGCGGTATGGCACGTGAAACCGCACAAAATGACGGACAAGCAGATTTGCCTGTTGCCGAGGCAGAGCGCATACGCGGCCAAGCTAAGTGCGGAGCACAACCGATTCCAGAGGATGAGGGTGCGGCGCCGCCATGTCGTGAAGATATCGCCAGCTCGGGCTGGGTGAGGCTCCAAGTCTTTTCGCGCGGGATTCCAGAGGCACAGCGGAGCAACGGCGTAAGGCTTGATTTCTTTCCTCCTTTTTTTCGGGTACATTCGGCTCAAAGTAGGCTGTCTCCGGGTGAGGCAATGTGTGTGCTTCGTGTGCTGCTTCGGCGGCGGACTCGGCCTGTTCCATTTCGTGTGTCCATATCCTTTTGGAGCTGTCACGGCTGCCGCGCGGGATATGGCGCTCAGCTGCTCGTAAGATGCTTCCGCGAGGATCCAACCATGTGGACGCGGTCGCAAGGAGGGTTTCACACAACGATGTAAAAGCAGGCCAACCCGCTTTGCGCAGGGCAAAGGTGGCTTTCTTCCGTCAAGGCAGCGTGTTTGCTAGTCGTGGAGTGCCATCGTCCATCTCTACCAAGTAGGATATTAAGCAGTGGTCCGAGTCCATGTAAGGGGCGAATGTCCAGTGGGGGATGCGTAGGGCGCAATACGCAGTCACGTCAGGGGACAATGCATTACGATGTGTGATCCGTGTTGCCTGTGTCGGGTAATTTGCCAGCCCAAAATCCATATCAATTAGAACAGCGGCGAAATTATCGCCTCCAGTCCTTGATGGTATATGTGACTGTCCCAGAGTTCACGATGTAAATTCGGGTCACCCGCGATAATCGCTTCGGGCACAAGCGACAAACGATATTGATAAATGCGGATTATTGACCAATTGCTGTGGGAGGGTTGTAGAGATTCGCCACGCAAATGCTGCGACAGCCCGGTGGAAGTACACGGACAGCAATGGTCTCCAGGAGGTCAGTGCCAGGGAGCGACGGGCGCTCGCACGGTGGAGAGTGGCGCACCAGAACGGCAACGCCACCACCGCGCCCAGTGAGGCCTGAAGGCAGTCATTATGGCCAGATAATTTCGTCGCCACGTCAACACGGTTACTTATTTCCTGCAGAAGAACGATGTCAGGTGGACGCTGCTCCAATCGCGCCGCAAATGCAATCTTTTTCACGGACAAGAGGCCTGCAATGTTGAGCCGCCAAATATTGATGAAGCCATCCTCCTCGGGCCAGGGTTCTTGTGAACGACACCGCCACGGGCGATATCAACGGAGTGGCCGCTGCGAAACGGTCGTGCAGTTCTGACCGACAGTCTGCAGGCAGACCGTCTCACCTCCCCGCACCGGGCATGGCGTGGAACCTTCTCGGGGGGTGAAGTCACCTTGGTCTCCGTCGTGCTCGCAGCAACGCCCTGCTGCGGAGTTCCTATACGCAACTAAAGCCCAGCACCGCGACAAGGTGCAACGTCATCGCTGGGGACCGTGGATACTTACGAAGAATGGCGGTGTTGACATTCCCACGTCAGCCGGGATTGGCATACTGCTTTCATCCCCGCGTTCCTCGGAGATAACAGAGAAGGTCAGTACCAACGGCGGCACACGCCCATGCAGCCGCACGACGGAGTCCCGTGCACTGCTCCCGGCCATGGAAAGGCTGAGTGCCCCTCGTATCCAGCACAGGCAAAAACCCTGCTTGTGGTTACAGACAGTCAGTCCCTTCTAGCCGCCGTCACCAAGGGCCCGCTCAGTCATACCGACTGGACAGAGGATCGGATCTGGCAGCGTCTCTTGTCGCTGACGCGTGCTGGCTGGTCCGTGCAGCTGCAGTTTGTTACGAACATTGCGGAGTACACGTTAACGAGCCTGCAGATCATTAGACGCAGACCACGGCAACCGGGCAATACACGGAGCATGGAATAGCACCCATACGGCACACGGACCTGCTGTCATGCATTAACACCCAGCTCACCAACAACTGGCGTAGTACCATGCATCAGGACACCCACCACTACCTGCTTGGCGGCGCCAGGCCATCAGATCCAGGCGGCAAGCACCTGATCACTCAGGAAGCCCTCGACCAACAGGAACGGATACACACTGCACGGGAAGGGTGCGGGGAATCCGAGCTCTGGGGTCGCCTGTACTGGACTGTGAGAGACTGCACGAACCAACGCCGTTTCCGCAACATCTCACCGGAACACTCCGCTTTCATGCGCTCCAACGACGATCCCACCGCACCGGGACGGACGCTGTTCCCCCGACGACAAGGGAGGCCGACGCACCGCCTGTGGAGAGACGGCCCTCCACACAGCGTCGGAAGAGGAAATGTTCGCACTGTGACGCCACACTGGTGGGACACACGAACCACATCGGTCACTGTCGGTGCTTTCATCCGGAACGCCCTCCACCGCTTCCCGACATCCACCGCGATTGCTGCGACACAGTCCTCCCCACACAAAAAAAGCACCGCACAGCACAGAAATCGCTGCGCACAAAACCCAGACGCTGGTCGACACCGCAGCAGCAGTGCCAGGAGGCAATCACTGCTGTCGCAGGATCAGCCAGCCTCCACAAGCGCAACAATTAGCCCGCAGAAAACGCTGCACCATCTGCTTCCGGAATTTACAGACGCGCTGGCTGTGCGCCAACGGCTGGGCATCAAGAAGGACCTTCGCACCGAAAGCTTCTCTCAATGGCAGCTGCCTCATAGCAGGAAACTCATGTCGCTGCTCGACCATCCCCTCGTCACCCTGATGACATCGTGTGGCTAGACATGTCGGTAAGAGCAGGGAAAAATAATAATAATGAGCATTCCCGCCACTGTAGAGACGTGGTGCATCTTGCGATCCCGCTGGCGGCTCTCCTGTTCCACCGCTGTTTTCGCGCAAGAGGCCACCACAGTCATTTTTGTGGTTTGGTCGGCCTCGTGTTGTGCTCCGGGTTCTCCTCCTTCATCGCCCTGCGGTGCTTCCTTCGCCGTCCCCGGCACCTGTGACTGTCCCGTGACGGTTTGTTCCGAAGCCTGACTGCCCTGGGAGGTCCTCCCGCCACCAGCATGCACTCCACACGCAGCCTGCTGAGATGCGTCGGAGCGTGGGGATGTTGTGCCTGCGGCGTGCCCTCCGCCCAAAGACTCCGATCCACTTGCACGCATCCGAGCAGCAGACGCGCTGCCAGTGCCGGACGGATTGCAATTGCCACTTCGCAGTGGGTCGCTGCTGGATTGGTCCTGCCTCGTCGGAGCAGTGAGTGCTCCTCCCGAGGTGGGATTGTGACCCTCACCCACGGTGTTTCCTCCACCCTCCTCCTCTTCCTGATTGCTATTGTCCTCAGAGTTCACATTCCCCCTTCGTCCAGAGCCACCGGCCACGTGTCCACCTTCCGCAGCCATCACACCCCGCGCGTGCCCAGCAGTCACCGCGCCATCACCCGCGGCCGCACACGCACCCCGTCGCAGCAGCCCTCACTCACACGCACGAGCAGCTGCACATCACTGCAGGAGCCAACAGGACGCAGAGCACACGGCCAGTCATCATCACAAACAGTGGAGTCGCCTAACGCTGCGGAGCCAACCTGCGACAGCACGAGAAAAACAAAAGGGAAACACAGCCGCTACACCACGCACAGCCACGCACAGCAACAAATGGCAGCACCCCAGCAGCAGCAGCGCACACACCACGAGACAGATGGAGTCAGTACGATTGCAGAGCTCGCACACCGCCCCGCAAACCACAAGTTAAAAAAGCAATAAAAAACAATAATTAAAAAGCAGAAATTAAAAAAGAAAACAAAAACAAACCCAGGACTCCAGTGCGCATGCTTATTAGTGTGTCCGCGATGCGTTCAACGTGGCGGATGCGGGGCACAACGCGGAGCACACAGCACGGCAGCAGAAGCAAGTGAAGCAAAACAAGATCATTATTTCCTCTTATTTTAGTACAGTGAACCACAACACACACGCACAAATCCCCGCGGTTGAGTGCTGGCACGCACAGCCCGCACACACCTCTTCAGCCCAGAGCGGTGTACGCCAGCGCGGATGCGGCGAGCACCAGCGGGGCACACACCCACGCAGAGCTGCTGAGGCTGCCGTCGATTCTGCGAAGACGTGACGGTGCGCGGGTCGTCGTCGTGGTTGGCGCCTCTGTAGTCGTAGTACTTGGTGGCTGTGTTGTAGTGGTGGTGGTCGTGGTGGTTGGTGCCTCTGGCGCAGTGGTCGTAGTAGTGGTCTCCTCGGTAGAATCGTCGACATTCTTATTTGCTTGTTCTGTGGATGCACTCGTGCCACTTTTTGTCCCTGTCGTGTCTTCCGTACCTTCTCTTTGTACCGTATTATGCGCACCACTTGATTGCGAATGCGGACTGGGCGAATTCCCTGCATCTCCCGCAGTATTTCCGCGTTCCGCAGAGACCCCATTACTTGATGACCCTAGCTGATCGGCCTCCTGTGGTGTCACTGATGAAGGGGTCAATTGACTGGGGGCGCTTCCATTAGCTCCAGACATAGTTGATGCCGGTATTGTGGCCGTTTTGGAAGAAGCGGCAGCTTTAGGCTGAGTGTCTCCCGCGTGCACAAACGGGAAGCAGCAGCACAGGGCAAGCACCAACAGGGCGCACAGCAGACGGCACGTCATCATCGTGAGTGTGGTCGTTCAGTGGTGTGGAGCTGATCTGCACAGTGAGGGACATGGAGAGCAACAGGGGAGACGAGAGGTGCGGCAGACACACACAGAGGACACACCACATGAGGAGAGGGCAGCAGCCAGGCATGCACCATACGCCGCACACCACGCACGACACACACTCCAATCCACGGCAGCAGGCACACACACACACAGCCCTGCCGCAGCAACAACACACAGATGGAGGAGGGAGAAGCAAACAGGAGCGGCACACAAGGCTCCACCGCATGTACATGCGGCGAGAGCGGTCCGTCGTGCCTGCACCCCTCACGGAGGGTGCGCACACACACAAGAAGGTGCAGCGCACACAGCAACACAAAAGCAAAGTAACAATAAAAAAGGAGATCCCCGCACACCACGCGGATTGTTGGTCCACGGGAAGTCCAGCCAATATTCACCACAAAGCAGTTCATTTGCAGTAGGCCTTCGTCCACATTCGGTGCACTCCACTTCATGCATGCACAGACACCACCGCAGCAACCGCACACGTAACAAGAAACAAGAAAGGGAGGTGATGTGGAAAACCGCATCGATGTTGTCACTGTCGCCAGGCGCCGCTGGGTTATTCGTTTTGTCTGTGGCTGTAGATGATGTTGTTTCTTTCTCGCTGCCATCCTCTCGTTCATGTTGGTGTTCTCCCTCCGGCACAGCGGCATGAGATGCTGAACCACCGTTCAAAATCTACGCATTGCCAGCGTCAGCGTCATTAGCAGCGGCAGCAGCATCCGCAGAAGAATATGGTGAAGTTGTCTCAGCCTGACCCTCAGTTATTGCATTCTGCCTTGCATCCGCTGTTGGTTCAGTGCCTTTTCTGCAGATCTTCTGTTGGCTTCATGGTCGCTGGAACTTCCGTTGAGGATGGCAGTGCGCTGTGTGGTGGTGATTTCGGTGGCGGTTCTGATGGGTCTGCTGGCGCCTCTTCTTCTGCTGCTGTTGGCGGCAATTCCTCCCATGCTTCTTTTTCTTTCCGGTGCCGCTTCCTCCTCTGCACCTCATTGTGCCGGCGGTTTTGGCTGTCGCAGGGGCATTGGCCGTGCTTCTCCCTGTTCTGCTGCACCGGTCGTAAACGATCGATAATTTCCAGAGAGCGACTTTGAAGCAGACTCTGAGCCCGGATGTCCAGGGGAACGACTGGTGCTTGAAGCAGACAGTCATTCGGGTGCTTCAGCCGCAGGTGCGTGCTCTGCATTGTGCGCGCTGCCAGTCAAACATTACGGATTTCTTTTTGCTCCTTTCACCACATCCCCTGGTCCTCCTGAGCCCATTCTGGCACTCCCTGTACCACGGACACACTCTGTTCAGCGTCAGTCGCTGTTTGAAGCTGCGGTGTTCGCTCTTGACTGTCGCCGTTCGATGCGCCCCGTGTGAGACCCGAGCTGGGTGCAGCCGCATGCTCTGCTGAGTCCTCGGACGGCTGCGTCGCATGTGCTGTTTGTCCTTCTGCTGGTGCTGGTGCTGGAGATCTCCGTGCGCTCTCCCCCGTCCTGAGCACGTGTGGCCCTTCTCGTTCCTGTTGTGTCCACTCGCTCTGAATATTTGTAACTGACGCGCTGCCTTTCTTTCCATCCCTCTCTTCCACGGTGAGAGTTGCCGACCCCGCAGAAAATTGTGGCGGTTGGGAGCACACACTCGACATTGACGGCTCTTCGCCGCAGCATGCTGAGCCTGCCTCCTCCCTTTCTCCTGCCTCACTTCCACCAGCGGGAGGATCGTCTTGGACGCCGGAGACAACTGCGGGCTGCTGCTTGGGGCCAACACCACCACCAGCACCCGAGACAGGAGTACTGCTGGCAGCGTCTGTATCGGCAGCAGAAGAAGATGAAGCCATTGGTGCAGCCCCACTGCCTCTGAGCTTCAGTCCCGCTCCCTGCATCACCGACCGGTGGTTGTCCTGCATCACTGTTAAGCGTTCCGCTTGCACCAACGCCGCCGTCCTCACCGGCCGGTACCGCCGCAGCTACTCCCCGTAAGGCAGCACTCGACACGCAGTCCCTCCTCGCAAACACCACTTCGCCATCCATTCCCCTCGCAAGCCCCGCGTCGTCCATTCCACCATCAGCACAGTAGCACACAGGCCACGCGTCACCACCACCGGCACCGCACCACAGCACGCAGAGGGCACACACCAGCAGCACACGGCCAGTCATCATCGCCATCACTCCCGTCACTTGCGTGTAGCCTTCAGCACAAACTAACTCCCCGTCAACGCAGAGTGAAAGCAAAAGGAGACAATTCACAAAGCCACGCACCGTCCCATCCAGCAATGAGAGTCACGCACCACCACAGCAATTAGGTGAGCGCGGTTCAACAACAATCAAAAAAAGAGGTGCTCCTCGCCAGTGCCCTGTTCCTCACACCCCCACAGTGTCACTACAACTGTTATTCCCTCTCCTCAGGCCCTCACAGGCACGCCACGCCCACTTCAACACGCGCCCCTCCAGCACACGCAGTCCGTCATGCGCTCCCACTGCGCCGCAACGTACGACACCTCCTCCCTCAGTCAAACAGCTCCGTGTCCTCCACGTCCCTCGCAATCGTCGGCATGCCCCGGCCGCGCAACACCCACAGCGCCACAGTGTCGTGCCGCTTCTCCTCCCCAATCATGAACGCAACACCCAACGTGTACTCGCGCACGTGCTCCATGCGCTGCAACCACAGGCCGATCAGGTTGGCCGTCATGAACTGCATCTTGTCGTCCTCCGTGTACTTGGAGCAGACCCTCACATTCTCTCAATCCACGGCCTGGGTGCTGCGAGAGGCTGCCGAGAGGCGCTACGTGTGTGGAAGAAGCAAATGTGGGGAAACAACGGCCACCCTCACTCCCTCACACATCTCCACTTCCCTCCACTGTCCCACACAAAAGGGCGGTGTCATGGGGAAGAGATGCCCGCCGCACAGCACATGAACGAGGGCACACGCGGAAGCAATGCCATCCACTTCGCACCGCAAGATACTGCCATGCGCTCAGCACACACATGGCGGCAACGAGAGCGACGGGGTGCATCCAATTACATACCGCACAGCCATTTACTTCCCTCTGCACGGCTAGTGGCGTCCCACACTCACAGTGAGGCACGGCGCACACCATCTTCTCCCCTCCGAGGGCACTCAGGAGGCCGGCACCCAGTCACCCTCGTGCCATCGCAATGGGTAGCACAAACAACCGTCGTCGCAAACCATCGGCGCCTCTAGCAGAAAAGAAGAAAAAGATATGAGGGCAGTTCAGAAACACAGCCAGCAGAGGGACACCCAACGACACACGGAGGCACACAGTGACAGTGGACACGGCACGGACAAAAAGAAGTCCGCAGGGATTTTTTAAAAAAGAAAAAGAAACTAA